GCTAGAAAGCCGAAATTTTGAGATTATGTTCCCCGTCCCCACAGAACTCAAAGATTTCAAATCCAGTCCCCCGGGTGTGCATGATTCCCGCGTACGGCATCGTGAGGGCTCCTGATGCGAAAACCGTCAACTTGAGAACCAAGAAAGCTGGGAGGCTGAAATTTTCAGGGAATTTTCCCAGCACGTGTACAACTTAAAGCCACTGGAGTCAGGCCACAGGCATGTGTGGTTCCGAGTACGGCCTCGTAAAATTTTTTAAGGGAAAACGGCTAACTTGGGAACCAAGAAAGCTGGGGGGCTGAAATTTTAAGGGGATGTTCATAATCTACGTATGACTTAAAGCTTTCAAGCCCAGCCCCCAGCTATGCCCCCAGGTCACGTGCGGCCCAGTGAAAGTTTTGGCGGGAAAATTGCTAACTCAGGAATCGGAAAAGCTGGAGTGCCGAGACTTAAGAGGAATATTCCCGTTCAAATACAACTTAAGGGTTTCAAATTCAGCCTCCAGATACGCGTGGTTCTCGTGTACAGGCACTTAATTTTTTGGCGGGAAAATTTCTTATAGTATAACTGGATCTTTTCAGAAAACAACTGCTAAACGAAACTGTTTATTTTCATTTATGCAAAATTTACGATGATTTACGGTATTGAGCGCACAAGGTAGGTGTGAAGAAACAACCATTCATGCAGTTAACCTAATTGATTCAAGTTTGGTGCAAAAACGCATGATCGCACCGGCTCACCTGGTGCGTTCCAAGCCTGGGTATCAACTATTTTCAATGTGGAAAAATGTTTTAGTTTCATGCATGACCATTACAACCTAGAGCTATCGTTCATGTGCACCTGGATCTCATGTACGGAAGATTAAAATGAAAACCGAAAAGGTTCAGGCATGACAACGATTTCGAGAGCCAAAGAAAATAAGAAGCTGAAATTTCAAGAGGATTTCCTCTTTTCTAGTGTGAGCTAAAGATTTCAAATCGGATATCACTGCGTTTACAATACGTGCACGGGCATGTCAGAGTTCATCGTTTGTACTGTACCATTTCGGGAATCAGATGGAAAAAGATACTGCAGTTTTGCTCGAACACTTAACACTTGTGCATGAGTCCCTACACCTAAACTATTTGTCTTCTTTGCTGCAGATACCATCAAAGTGCTTTTACACCTGCGTAGCGCATGAAAGTAGTTCAAAGACACCTGTGGCAAAACGATTTCGGGACTCAGTTAAGCTTGGAAGCTGAAATTTTGTGATGATATTCTGCGCCAATACATGACTGGAGTTCTCCAAGTTTCAGCCCGGTAGCTTTAAAGCACGTCTAGGTTTCGTGTTACGCGCGAGTGAATTTTCCAATTTTTGATGCTCATCAACTCTGAGGCCAAAGGCGCAGAAAGCAGCAATTTTTTTTTCTCCTGCTCTATATCGGCCTATAATTTTAGATGAATATCATGAAATCCCGATTAATTTCTGCTGAGCAAAAAGTCATGAGTAAAGGAGACAGGCATTCTGCTACATTTTTTTATGCGTTTTTTTGCAGCTATGCAATGCAGAAAACGCATATTGGCGAGATATTGTCTGTGTGTGTCTGTGTGTGCCCTGCGCGTCTGTTCCGGTTTTTCGTCTCGAGACCCAAAAAAAGCTACCGAGCTGAAACTTGGAGAACTTAATCTACATCCGTATACGGGCCTCCATCTCCGAAATGGGCGCTCTTACCTACGCATGGGCCCGCGAAAATTTTTTCCAAGTAAGTTGTTAACTCGGGAACCTGAAAAGCTAGAAGGCTGAAGTTTTAAGATGTTCCCCGTCGAAGTAGGTATTAATGAGTTCAAACCCAGCTCCCGGGTATGCGTGGTGCCTACGACCCGTAAAAGTGTCTTTCCATTTGTGCATGAGACCCCATACCTAAACTGTTTATCTCCAAAGTGCTTTTACGTAAACTTGGTGTTGCAAAGCC